TTAGTAATTAATTAGATATGTCAAATAAAAATTAATTTTTTTATATTCTATTACATCTTATTTTACTATATGAAGTTTAATTTACTATGTTGAATTTATTCTAGGCATGATAAAGAATAGTCTGGAGCTATGCAGCACTTGTGGACATAATGGTTTCAAATGTCCAGGTCATTTTGGTCATATAGAATTACCAGTACCTGTTGTCAATCCATTATTTTATAAAGCATTATCCATGTTAATCAGACTATCATGTCCAAATTGCTTTTCATTACAAGTACCATCATATATCAAACTATTGTTATCTGCAAAATTAAAATTACTTTATCAAGGACAACTTAGTGATCTCGAGAGTTTGGATCAAGAAGTAATGTCTATGATATCAAGTGTCCAAAAAGTAGAGGAACAAACGGAATATGTTCGCAATATAATTGATACTTATATGCAAAACTTTTTCAATAAGACTAGATACAATCGAGTTACATCTGAAAATCATGAGGATCAAATTAGTATGAAAAACATCATTATGCAATGGCATATATATGTTGAAAACATACTTAAACAATATGTGAGAGTCAACAAGGCTGGAATATGCGAAAAGTGTCACGAAGGTCTTCCAAAAATATCGACCTTGCAAAACAAGATAATGATAACCAATAAGAGAGTTGCATCTTCTAATTCCACCGGCGAAGTGACACATAAATTGGAATCAGTGATGATCATGCCGGATCAATCTAAGGAACATCTTCGTCAATTGTGGAACAATGAAAAGGATTTTCTTAAAGTGATTGTACCCTGCTTAGAACTGGTTGATATTGAATATCCTACCGACGTATTCTTTTTCGAAGTAATACCTGTATTACCACCGATTGTACGTCCAGTAAATTTTCTTAATGGTCAGATGATCGAACATCCTCAAACTCATATCTATAAGAGCATCATACAGGACTGTCTGGTCTTAAGAAACATCATACAAACGATTCAGGACGGAGGTACTGAGCACTTGCCTCAAGAGGGTCGACTTGTTTTCGAGCAAATCAAAGGAACGACGGCGATTGAAAAATTACACAATGCATGGCAGGCATTGCAGAGCAATGTGGATCACCTGATGGATCGCGATATGAACAAGACACCGGAATCCATCAACGGCCAAGGTTTAAAACAAATTCTTGAAAAGAAAGAAGGTATAATTAGAATGCACATGATGGGTAAAAGAGTAAATTATGCCGCACGTTCGGTCGTCACTCCAGATCCTGACTTGAATATCGACGAGATTGGCATTCCTGAAGCTTTTGCCCGCAAATTAACATATCCCACAGCAATAACGCCGTGGAACGTGGTCGAATTAAGACAATTGGTTCTGAACGGTCCTAACGTTCATCCTGGTGCAGTTATGGTGGAGAATGAAGATGGATCGGTGCAAGCTATTGATAGTAACAATGCTATGCAAAGAGAAGCTATCGCGAAACGACTCTTAACAACGAGTGACAGGACTGAGTCCTTCATTGGTGTTAAAGTGGTACATCGACATCTTCAGAATGGCGATATCCTGTTGTTAAATAGGCAACCGACATTACACAAACCGAGTATAATGGCTCATAAAGCACGGGTTCTTAAGGGAGAGAAGACATTACATCTTCATTATGCAAATTGCAAAGCTTACAATGCCGATTTTGATGGAGATGAACTCAACGCTCATTTCCCACAAAACGAATTAGCCAGAAGTGAAAGCTACAACATCGCAAACGTATCGAATCAGTACCTCGTACCAAAAGATGGATCTCCGTTAAGTGGTCTTATACAGGATTATATGGTGTCTGGAGTACGATTAACAATTAGAGGTACATTTTTCTCGAACGTGCATTACAGGCAACTAGTTTACGCAGCACTGCCGATAACACAACAGAATCTGATTCTCTTACCACCGACTATCATCAAACCAGAAATGCTATGGTCCGGTAAACAAGTTCTTTCGACGATTATCATTAATATTATTCCTTCGCACAAGGTGCGAATCAATTTGGTCTCCAACACGAAGATCAATTCAAAAGAATGGCAAGTGGAAGCACCACGACGTTGGAAGTGTGGAACGGAATTTAAAAATCCAGTGACGATGTCAGAGGCTGAAGTTATAATTCGACACGGGGAGTTATTATGTGGAGTACTCGATAAGATGCACTACGGTGCGACTCCATATGGTCTTATTCATTGCGTTTACGAATTATACGGGGGAATATGCGCGAGCGAAATGTTAAGCGCATTTGGAAAACTATTTCAGATATTTCTACGGAATGAGGGATTTACTCTTGGCGTCGAAGATATTTTAGTAACTGGTAAAACCGATAAGAAGCGCAAAGAGATTATTTCTAATTGTAAAAAGATCGGGGAAAATGTACAGAAATCTGTGATAAAAGTACCTGATGATACACCTATAAATGAAGTTCGCGCCAAAATGGAAGAATTCTATTGGAACAACCCCAAGTTTCACGCGCAAGTTGATCAGAAATATAAGAACACTTTAGACGTTTATACCAACGATATTAACAAAGTTTGTCTGCTGACAGGACTCGTCAAGAAATTCCCAGACAATAACTTGCAGCTTATGGTGCAATCTGGTGCTAAGGGATCTACGGTCAACACTATGCAAATATCATGTTTGCTTGGTCAGAGCGAGTTAGAAGGTAAAAGGCCACCGTTAATGATCAGCGGAAAAAGCTTATCGAGTTTCCTAACGTACGACCCGACACCTAGAGCCGGTGGCTTTATCGATGGTAGATTTATGACTGGTATCAAATCGCAGGAATGTTTCTTCCATTGTATGGCAGGACGCGAAGGTCTTGTTGATACTGCCGTAAAAACCAGCAGATCCGGTTACTTACAGAGATGTTTAGTAAAACATTTGGAAGGTTTAATTGTTAATTACGACGCGACAGTCAGAGATTATGATGGCAGTTTAATCCAATTTTATTATGGAGAGGATGGCCTTGATATACCAGGCTCACGTTTTTTAAAGAAGGAACAAATCGCGTTCCTAATTGACAATAAAGATTTGATTATGGATGAGAAGTTAATAGAATGTCTAAAAACAAATAATGAGGAGATACCGAAAATGATAAAAAAATTAAGAAATGGGAAAATAAAAATGGTTCTTCCTTACAAAAGAGGAGGATCAGTGCGTTTAGTAAATTCTCCATAGAGAATTCCAATAAGAATAACAGTGCAAAAAGACAATCTATCCAGAGTGGAAGAAGCAAAACCGCATTGTCGCTCATGAGAAAGTGGATAAGAGCGAAGGAAGAGGTGAAGGAATCATTCCGTGCGCAATGCGTTAAATGTCCTGATCCAATAACGTCAAAATACAGGCACGATATTGAATTTGGCGTACTGCCTGAACGAATAGAAGGCTTAATAAATGAATATCTCTCTGATCCGTCGAGAAAGAAAATTAAAACGTCTACCTTGAGAGATTTATTATCTATAAAAGTCATGAAAACAATTTGTCCACCTGGTGAACCAGTTGGTTTATTAGCGGCACAGTCCATAGGTGAACCATCTACTCAAATGACTCTAAACACATTCCATTTTGCGGGACGTGGAGAGATGAACGTGACTTTAGGTATTCCTAGATTACGTGAAATATTGATGACGGCATCGAGGAACATAAAGACTCCTAGTATGGAAATACCTTTTCAAAATAATCTGGAAAATCTTGAAAAGCAGGCAAAGAAGTTAAAATTAAAATTAACAAGGTGTATCTTGTCCGATGTATTGAAAGATATCGCGATAAGCAGAAAAATAGAAGAGAGTCCAAATAGAAGATTAGTGTACACTCTTATGATTAAATATCTTCCTCACAAATATTATAAGCGAAAGTTTTCTGTTCATCCGCGAGATATAATTAAGTGTACCGAGGAAATCTTTTTCAAGAATATATTCAAAGGAATTGGGAAACTTGCCAAAGTATCCAAAGTTTTGTTACATTTTGAAGGCGAAAAAAGCCGGGCGAATGACGAGGACTCGGCGATAGATCAGATTGATCCTGACGACGTAATACCGGAAAATATAAAAAGCAGAACACGGTTAGATTTAGGAGAGATGCATGAGTCATCCGATGAAGAACAAGCTGCAGAAGATGCTGACGCGACAATGACTAGATCACTATCGCGTCATCGAGAAAACCAAGAATACGAAGATTCCGAAGAAGAAGAAATTGAAGATGCAAATAAGGAGGAAGAAACAGATAATAATAATACAGATAATATTTTCGAGAATAAAGATGATGCGGACGATGATGATAATACTGAGAAATTAAATAATAAAAAAAATAAAAAATTTGCTAACAGGAAGGAATGGGTCGTAAATTCATATCCGAACGCTATAGATTACGATTATGATGAGAATAAATTATCATGGTGTAAATTCACCTTTTGGGTAAGTGTTTATAGTAAAAATTTATAACCTATATACGATTTTCATAAAGAAATATTCAAAAAATAATCTTAAACTTTTTCTAAAATTCTAAAATTTTTTATTTATTTTTTTATACGATGTTTAGAGATATAGAGTTTTCTATTTCTATTAAAATGAGACGCTTTATTATATTCTGAAATATT